GAGCAGCATGCCAAAGCCACTTATACTATGCATAGCATTACGGGCTGGCTTAACCCTTTGAGGGTTTTCGTCGTACTAGTACGTCTTACGCGTAGGGGTTTTTGACGTACTAGTACTCATAAATTCTAGCGGCCTCAAATCTAGTGGGAGAAAGCTGGTAGGCCTTCATATGAAAGAATGGGTCTATGTGGTCAGTGTGCACAGTCTAAAAATAATCCTGCAGCACACAGTGCATAATGAGAAAAAAAAAACTTTGACCATTTTTTTTTAATAAATCAGCGACTTTGCAGTGTATTTTCGTATGGTATTTATTGTTGTATTCTAGTTTTCTTGGTCTCATTTTATAGAATGGAAGACATATTACAGAAATAGAGATGATTTTGACTGGTTTTACAAAGAAAGGTGCCTTGAAATTGAGCTCAAAGTAGCAGAAATGTTCGATTTTTACCAAACTTCAAAAGTAAACAAATCGTGCCAAGCGTGCAATACACGTCAATGGTGAGTCTAATATTCTTTCACAAGTGCACCAATAATATTTATACCATTTTTTACACTAATGCAGTAGTCTGCATAACAGTAAATCTTATATTTTTTGTGAAAATAAAAATTCAAAGTGGAAAGCAAAAGAATATAAGAGGGGCCTTGAGACGTGAATAATGACTAGAGGAAATGTCATTTTAGTGCCAGGAATGTCTTTCTTGTTTATTCTGGACCCTATTCGGAAATTGGCATCTTTTGAAATTTGTGTGAAATTGGCAAAATTGCTAAATTCTGACCACTGTACTGGATAGTTGAATTTCATAAATGAGTGGTTTCTTGCACCCATTCGATAGAAAAAAATGGAGTTCTAGCGAAATATTCATGTTTTTTGTCGACTAGTACAGTGAAATTGGCCGAAAATGGGGCTCAAAGTGGGCAAAATCGCCGATGCGTAAACATCGCCGAGACCGCTAACTTCGCGAGAGCATAATTCCGTAAGTTTTCTATCAAATTTCAAACTTTTGGTGTCTTTATGATCGGGAAAAGATTATCTATCTTTTCATAAGAAAAAATAATTTTTTTTTTTTTTTAAATTTGGCCGACCCTGAGAACGAGTTTCGGAGAGTGCCTGTCGACCCTCAAAGGGTTAAAATTAACTTAAGATTAACTAAGCAATGATTACAAATACTTTAAGATAAGTAATGAATGTACTGTGTATGTATTTTACATTTTGTGTTTTTTAATGCATAGTTCTATTACAAATTTAATATAATTTAGTGTAAACTTGTTGTCTGGCATTTATATGCATTTATAAATGGAAAAAATGGTGTTCTGCTTTCCGGCGATGTCTGCTTTCTGGCTATAGCCTGGAACCTGACCTGCTGTATAAGTGGGGCCCTAGTGTATTAATACACATTTAAAATTGTACTACTGTACTATATAAATTGTACTGTAATATTTTGCTACCTCTCTTTTTGTAATAATTCATAATTAAAATTTGCAACCCAGTAGCATATGACTCGTCTTCAAGAAACTGTAAGCATCAGAATTAGTTTGCCAGAAATGCACAGAATGCTAGTGGCTTCCTTTGTGCTTAACAATATTTTACTACGTGTAAACTACATTATGTATACAGGTACTCCTCACTTAATGACCTACCTGATTAATGACTTAAAACAAGCTCTCCGACCAGTCATTATTGTCGGTTAGACAAAAGTAAATACGTTGATATCATAAATAAAAAAATTGTGGCACTTTCTAATGTGCCCAATTTAGAAGCTGAAGTGGAAGATATTGAAGAATTAGTGGAATATGTGGAGGGAAAGCTAACTAACAAAGATTTAATAAGTGTTGGAAGCATAGCAACACTTCGAAGAGGAAGGAATGGAAGAAGTACAAAAGAAGTTCACTGTAAAGTGGTTAGTGGGTGTGTTCTGGAACTAGAGGGTATGGATCAGAATGTTGAATACCTCACGAAAGTGAAATGGCAAATGGATAAACTTTAACAATGCTTTTGTGAAATTTTTAAGGAAAAATAGAAATTACAAAGCAGGCTACAATAAAAGGATTCTTCAGGAATGTTACACCTAGGACCCCTAGCCCCACAAGTCCTTCCATTTCCTCGCCGTCATCTCCCTTACCCGGGCACCTCTACACCTCCTGATAATCCTGCATTTACAGTATGCAAACCTAAGTAATGTATATTGCTGCTGATTTCCTCTATTCTGTTTATTACAGTATACAGTACACTATTGAATAAATATTTAAAAATACACTAAAACGTTATAACTGGTGCAAAGGTGACATTAAAACAATAGCTAAAGATGAATGACACAAACTCACTACTAGTACAGTATGCTTGAAATATAAGCAAGGGGCAGCTCCTCACTTAACCCTTTCTGTGTCGAGAGGCTCTCTCCTAAACTTGTTCTCAGGGTCGAAAATTTTTCGGGGAAAAAAAAAAACATTCTTGTGAAATGATAGAGAATCTTTTTCCGATCATAATGACACCAAAAGTATGAAATTTGATGGAAAACTTAGGGAATTATGCTCTCGCAAAGTTAGCGGTCTCGCCGATGTTTACGCATCGGTGATTCTGCCCACTTTGAGCCCTATTTTTGGCCAATTTCTGTGTACTAGTCGACAAAAATCATATTTATTTTGCTAGAACTCCATTTCTTCTTTCGAATGAGTACAAGAAACCACCCATTTACCAATTTCAACTATCCAATAAAGTGGTTACAAATTTGCAATTTTGCCAATTTCACACAAATTTCAGAAGATGCCAATTTCCAAATAGGGTCCAGAATAAACTAGAAAGACATTCCTGGCACTAAAATAACAAGTTCTCTGTTCGTTAGTCACGTCCCCAGGCCCCTCTTATATTTCTTTTGCTTTATACTTTGAATTTTTATTCTTACAAAAAATAGAAGATTTATTGTTATGCAGACTACTGCATTAGCGTAGAAATGGTATAAATAATATCAGCGCACTTGTGAAAGAATATTAGACTCGCCAGTTGATGTGTATTGGACGCTTGGCTTGATTTGTTTACTTTTGAACTTTGTAATATGTCTTCCATTCTTTGTAATGTCTTCTGTAATATGCCTTCCATTCTATAAAATGAGACCAGGAAAACTAGAATACAACCATAAATATCATACAAAAATACAGTGCAAAGTCACTGTTTTAATCCAAAAACACGATCAGTTTTTTTTTTCTCATTACACACTGTGTGCTGCAGGATTTTTTTTATACTTCGCACACTGACCACATAGACCCATTCTTTCATATGTAGACCTACCAGCTTTCTCTCGCTAGATTTGAAGGCGCTATTATTTAGGCGTACTAGTATGTCAATAACCCTGGTGTGTAAGCTGTACTAATACGTCGAAAACCCTGAAAGGGTTAACGACCAATTCACTTAACAGCCTACTCATAAGAACACGGTCTTTAGGTGAGGAGTGCCTGTACTACACAAAGAAATAAAATTTGTTTCCTTGTTTTCTTGTTTAAAAAGTACCCCCCATCATTTGACTTGAGAGTCTATGAAGATAAATTATGTTACAGACCAATTTATCAACACCATCCCTGTTTATCTACATTACATTAGCATTCATATTATAGCTCGGACTGTTACTAATTTATTTCAACTGTAATAACCACTACAAACATTTATTTATTTATTTATTTATTTAGAAATTTTAGCATACAAACAGAGGTACAAAAAATACAGGTAAGAGCAGCATGCCAAAGCCACTTATATGCATAGCATTACAGGCTGGCTTAAAATTAACTTAAGATTAACTAAGCAATGATGAAATCAGTGATAAGACATTATTGTAAACAGATAACTATAAAATACAAATGAGTATTACAAAGACAGGTCCTATGGTTGCATGCATTGCTGTTCATTCAGTAGAATGGAGTATTCTGTTAGGTAGTGTATTTAAAAAAATAACAAAGTTAGGTTTAACATTTGTGTGATATAATTGTGAGTAACATTTAGGATATACAATTTATATGGTTCAGTTATTCAGTATTTATTTGGTTTTGAGTGAGTAAGTGAACTTTGAGAAGAGACTTGAATTTATAAACAGGTAGTGTTTCTTTTCTATTTACAGGTAATGAATTCCAGATTTTAGGGCCTTTTATGTGCATTGAGTTTTTGCATAGCGTGAGATGGACACGAGGAACATCAAAGAGTGATCTGTGCCTTGTATTATGGTCATGTGTTCTGTTGAGGTTGGCAAGGAGATGTTTGAGGGGAGGGTTAATATCAGAGTTAAGTGTTCTATGTATGTAATAAGTGCAATAATAAGTATGGATGTTTTGTATAGTGAGTAGGTTGAGTGTTTTGAATATTGGTGGAGTGTGCTGCCTGTAGTGAGAATTTGTTATCATTCTAACTGCAGCCTTTTGTTGGGTAATTAGTGGTCTGAGATGGTTAGTTGTTGTTGAGCCCCATGCACAAATTCCATAGGTGAGATAGGGGTAAATAAGAGAGTGATAAAGGGCCAGGAGGGATGACTGTGGAACATAGTACCGTATCTTCGATAGTATGCCTACAGTCTTGGAAATTTTCTTAGAAATTTGTTGTATATGTGTATGAAATTTGAGTCTATTATCGAGGTGGATTCCTAAGAATTTTCCCTCTGTTAGCTTTGTGATAGGTGATTAGTATTAAAGTCTGTAAACTTTAGCATTCAAGTAAACCAACTTAATTATATAAAACATCCAGTAGTTACAAGTTAATTTTAAGACTGCCTGAAAAGCTTTGCATAACCAGGGGATTTCCATAAGTATGCCATTAATGTTAACTAATCATATATCAATTGTATACTGTATTTTTAAAAAAGAAAGATTATCATCATTATAGTAGTATTACTATTACTACTAATATTGTATTACAAGCCAAGAAGCAAATCTGAAGTCTTTATTATAATTATCTTAAGAAAATACATGCATAAATTCTAAATATATATGTATATATAAAAAAGGGCAGGGAAAACATTGAATACCTTTCTTAGTTCCTCTTCAACTTGAGAAGAATTGGGTCCATAAATATGACCTACATGATCAGGCTCCTCGTGGTAAAGAAATATAAGGTTCGCAGGAGTCCGTTCATTTGTAAACCACTCAATGCTTTTATCTATGCTCTCATTAAATAAAGCGTGCTGGTGAAATGGAGATAAAAACGTTACATTTTTGCCTCGGTATGCAACACCGCAGCCTGGCCACATAATGCACCCACTGTGTCCGCCATGCTCCTCATTCAAAGTCTGAAAATGATCAAAGATGTAGTAGGAGTTTCATTCTTATTATTCATAATACAGCACTAATAGTTTCCTTGCACTGCTGAACTTACAACTTAAAAAGCTGTTGCCCTACATTATCAGCTTATTCCACAACCCAGACCAATTTACTGCATGCTGCTACCACCCCCAAAACAGTCGGCTAACACCTGGGTACCAAGTTAATGCCCAGTGAACAGAGGCAAATATGCAATGAAATATAGCCAAAGTCTCTACCAGCCTCAGAACCTACCTTTGGTCCTTCAGTTGTGAACTGAAGGATCAAAGTACTGTGAACTACTAAGATACTAACCATGTTCACAAACATTAACAGCAATTAACCTTGAAGCTCTTGCATACCATCCTAGAGCAGACAGACAACCTACTACCTGAAGCACGCTATTAGCAAACCCACATGGAGAAGCGCTTTTCAGTATTTTCTGTAGCTATTATGAAAGAACCTAGGTAGCAGGTTGGTAGACAGCAATCACCCAGGGAGGTACTACTGTCCTGCCAAGTAATTGTTTTACATGATGTTAGGATTGCTGGTGACTTTTTTCTGTCTCATAAACATGCAAGATTTCAGGTATGTCTTGCTACTTCTACTTACATTTAGGACACACAAGCATATATATACACACTCCTCTGGGTCTTCTTCTATTTTCTTACTAGTTCATGTTCTTATTTCCTCTTATCTCCATGGGGAAGTGGAACAGAATTCTTCCTCCATAAGCCATGCGTGTTGTAAGAGTCAATTAAAATGCTGGGAGCAAGGGGCTAGTAACCCCTTCTCGTGTATACATTACTAAAGTTAAAAAGAGAAACTTTTGTTTTTCTTTTTGAGCCACCCTGCCTTGAAAGAAGATGATTATAAAAATAAAATTCTGATAAGCAAAATGTCTTAGTTAATTTTCATAAATAATAGTTACGTAAATATGAGTGACTTTGCATGTGGGGCACTAGTTCACCATGCCTTGTGTATAGAGCAATGAAACATGCAAACAAGTGAGAAACAATGTACTATACATGCAATATTTTAACTCAGAAATAACAAGAGAATGTGTGCCAGGACACAGAATGTGCAAAATTGTACTACACTAACATTTTATTGCAAATGAGAGTTCTCAGAGGAAACTAGGTATAAGATATACAAATATAAGGTAGATACTGTGACCAGTCATTTATGTTGCACAAGATTCTACTCAAGGGGTACAAGAGTCTTAAAGGTGGTATCTTATATCCTTGATGCTATCTCTGTCTTTATCTGTCCCTGTTTGTCCCTGTCCCTGTCTGTCCCTGTCCATGTCCCTGTCCATGTCCCTGTCCATGTCTGTCCATGTCTCTGTCCATGTCTCTGTCCATGTCTCTGTCCATGTCTCTGTCCATGTCCCTGTCCATGTCCCTGTCCATGTCCCTGTCCATGTCCCTGTCCATGTCCCTGTCCATGTCCCTGTCCATGTCCTTGTCCATGTCCATGTCAAATAAAGCCAAGGCAGTGGACGATCATCAAATGTCACTCCACTGCTGCACTTTCAGCAGTGGAGTGACACTCGTCTTACACCGTGCTTCAAGGAGTTTCATATATACTCCAGCATGTCTAAAACATTGCTGAGACCTATAAATACTTTGTTCTTGTTGGAGTCCTGCAGGGTAGTGTCCTTGGACCACTATTCTTTCTCATTTACATCAATGACCTCCCTAATGCTTCTAAACTACTTAAACCTGTTTGTCTTTTGCAGATGACACTACTTATATCCTCTCTCACTCAAACTAAGCCATACTTAGAAACACTGTATATGATGAGCTACTAAAAATACCCACTTGGATGACGACCAACAAACTTACTCCCAATATCGACAAAGCCTGCTTCATACTGTTTCGAAACAGAGCTGCAAATATTCAGAAAGAATTTGCCTTAGGAACCTGGAACTGAGGGAGGATCTTGTATTCTCTAACGCCAATAAAGGGCCGGAGATTGTAGTGTTCAAAGCAGAAAACTATAGAAGAGCGGGATTAAAACATTTCAATAATAAGGAAACCTATTTAAGACTGGATAACCCAGAACAGACATGGCAAGAAATCAAGAATAGAAGCAATGAATTAATACTAAAACACTATAACAATGAAGCCCAAAAGAGATTTATGAATGTGGCCCTTAGGGATTCGCTTTTAACACTTAAATAAAAAATCCCTAGCATGTATTTCTTACCTAAAACACAAAGATATGGACACGGAACTGGGCACCTTTAAAACCAGACCGGTACTTTCAGGGTGTGCAGCACCAACCAGGCCAATAGATAAAATGATGACAGTGCTATTAATGCCAATTTTGAAGCTTCTCCCTGACAGACTGAAAGATACGACACATTTCCTGAAAATCCTAGAAGACGTGAGGAAAAAGATAGGAAAAGCCCCAGACAACCTAAGACTGGTCTCACTCAACAGAGTCGCTATATCCATCCATACCCCAGGAGGAAGCTGCAGTAACAGTGGCGGACTTCTATGCTGAACACCTGGACAAGATCAGAACAGAACTCAAGGAATTGGGAATACGAAGACCACCTAACAAAAGCCTAGTGAAAGAAGCCCTTCTACATATAATGCAAGACAATTCTAAAGTTTGATAATGTGGCGTACAGACAGAAGAGGGGCACAGCAACAGGGGCGTCTGTTAGGGTAGCAGTTGCCAAAATATTTGTACACTGTAAGTTAGAATGAAACCGGCCAGACTCCAGCCCACCTACACTACTTTACAAGAGGTATATTGATGACATTTTTGTACTCATCGAGGGAAGAGATGAAAGCATAGAAAGATTAGTGGATTGAGCCACAGGGCTCACCCTTCACTCAGATTCACTTTGGAATCTAATGACAAGGAATTGCCTTTCCTGGACACCCTGGTTTACCTCAACGAGGAGCGCTTTCTACACAGCAGAATATATTATAAACCAGGAAACTCTCACCAGTACCTTCATTGGTCTTCATCACACCCAATAACATTGAAACGTTCTCTCCCTTTCTCTTTAGCACTTAGGATCTGACGCATCTGTAGTGAGGAAAAGCATTTTGAGACAGTCCTACAGGACATGTGGAACTTTTTCAAACAGAGGAGATACCCAGAGAACTGCTTACTACAGGCTGAGGAGAAGCTGAGGACGACAGAAAGATTTCAACTACTGGAACCAAAGACGAGACATGGGGACAGCAGATCGATCCTGACGACGATGTACAGCCATGAGTGGGCGAGTAATCGAAGTGAAGAACTGACACAGCTTTTGGACTGGGCGAACAAAGAATTCCAAGAGGCATCCTGGTGGGAATTCTCTCCTGACAGACCACCAATGCTGGCTTGGATGAAGGATGATTCCTTAAAAAACAGACTGATGAGGGCCGAGTTCCCGAAGAAGAGGACGTAATGGGACTGGTAGAGGATGCTGGCCTGGGCACTAAAACAAACAAAACATATCAATAAGTGGTTCCCCATTTCAAGACACTGATGGAAAATTTCTAGGGCTCCACATTGACAGCTGTCTCAAATTTCAGACCCACATACAGCATATCTCCCAAAAAAATCTCCAAAACAGTAGGCACCCTCTCTAAGATATGGTACTATGTACCCCAAATGGCACTTCTTGCTCTTTACCACTCTCATCTATCCTTACCTCACCTATGGTATTTGTGCATGGAGTTTAACCATAGCAAATTACCTCAAACCTTTAATTATCCAACTAAAAGCTGCTGTGAGATTGATTACAAACTTGTGCGCCAGGCAACACACCCCACCACTATTTAAGCGCTTGAGACTGCTTAACATACAAAATACCCACTCATATTATTATGCCTACTACATACACAGAACATTATTCTCCAACATTAACCCTCCTCTCAAACTCCTTCTTGAGAACTACAACAGAACGCACTTGCATAACACAACACACAAAACATTCTTTGATATCCCTCGTGTCCATCTCTCCCTATGCAAAAATGCTATGCTATGTTATAGATGCCCCTCATGTCTACTCTATTTTATGCTCCTCTTGTCCTCTCCAATACTTTGGAGAGACTGGCCACCCTCTTTCTGGCAGATTAAAAGAACACAAAGTGTTAGGCTAGCCGACACTAATAATGGTTTTCTCTGTCATGTTAGAGATCACAGTCATCCTATTGACTGGTCCTCTGCTTATACTGTATACCTTACTTCAACCCTTCACAGATGTTGTCTTGTTGAAGCATCCCTTATACATAACTTTCCTTGTATGAATCCTAGTCCTGCCTTTGTCTCTGTAGATACCTTCCTTGCTCATTACACTGTCAAATGCTCCAAACTTCAGAACACTCATGACTTAACCTAATCCTTTTTTCTCCTCCTCCCCCTACTTCTTCTCCTTTCCTATTTTTTCCTTCCTTCCTTCCTAAGTGTGTTTTGTCCTTCAGTTCCCCTCCCCTCAATGGTTTTGGTCCTACCCTCTGAGGGCCCTTAGCTCTCCTGCAGTGCTCTGTTTACTTGTCATTAGACTGACCTAATGTCTAGTACTATAACTACCACCCCATTTCTACTACTATTGCTACTACTAAAATCTGGAACTCCTTGCCTGAAATCTCTAGAACTACAGACTCAATCAACATTTTCAAAACTACCATTAAAAAACACCTTATCTCCCTAACATACTATCATCAGTGATGTGAAAACCACACATGCTATTTACTGTATCATAAAAACATCCAAAACAAAATACTTACTCTCATTACCTGTAATTCTCCCTATTTGCACTTACACTTGCCCAAATGAATGTGAACATAAAATTCCTAATACAGTGGAACACTGACTTACGAGTGTCCCAACATACAAGTTTTTTGCGATACGAGCCATCACTGGGTCAATTTTTTGCTCTGAGTTACGAGCCAACATTTGAGGTACAAGCCAGCTCCCCTTGCTTCCCCCTCAACCCAAAACCTGGACTCCTTGTTTGTTTATCTATGATTCCATG